TGAAAATTCTTTTCTTTAAAGGCATTGAATAATGGCCCTCACTCTCTTCTGGCTTGTAGGGTTTCTGCTGAGAGATCTACTGTGAGTCTGATGGGCTTCCCTTGGTGGGTGACCTGACCTTTCTCTGTGACTGCCCTTAGCATCTTTTCCTTGATTTCAACCCTTGTGAATCTGATGATTACGTGCCTTGCTGTTGCTCTTCTTAAGGAGTATCTTTGTGGTGTTCTCTGTATTTCCTGGACTTGAATGTTGGCCTGCCTTGCTAGATTGGGGAAATTCTCCTGGATAATATTCTGAAGAGTGTTTTCCAGCTTGGATTCATTCTCCTTGTCACATTGAGGTACACCCATCAAGCATAGATTAGGTCTTTTCACATACTCCCATTTCTCTTGGAGGCTTTGTTCATTTCTCTTCACTCTTTTTTCTCTAATCTTGCCTTCTCATTTTATTTCATTGAGTTGATCTTCAATCTCTGATATCCTTTCTTCTGCTTGATTGATTCAGCTATTGAAACTTGTGTTTGCTTCACGAAGTTCTCGTGCTGTGTTTTTCAGCTCCATCAAGTCGTTTATTTTCTTCTCTAAGCTGGTTATTCTAGTGAGCATTTCTTCTAACATTTTTTCAAGGTTTTTAGTTTCTTTGCATTAGGTTAGAACATGTTCCTTTAGCTCAGAGAAGTTTGTTATTGCCCAACTTCTGAAGCCTGCTTCTATCAATTCATCAAACTCATTCTCCAGCCTGTTTTGTTCCCTTGCTGGTGAGGAGTTGTGATCCCTTGGAAGAGGAGAGGTATACTGGTCTTTGATGATTTCATCCTTTTTGTGCTGGTTTCTTCCCATCTTCACGGGTTTATCTACCTTTGATCTTTGAAGTTGGTGATTTCAGATGGGGTCTCTGAGTGGATGACCTTTCTGTTGATGTTGAAGCTATTTCTTTTTGTTTTTTTTAGTTTCCCTTCTAACAGTCAGGACCCTCTGCTGTAGGACTGCTAGAGGTCCACTCCAGAACTTCCTTGCCTGGGAATCACCTGCAGGGTGTGTGGAGCAGCAAGAATTGCTGCCTGATCTTTCCTCTGGTAGCTTTGTCCCAGTAAGGTACCCACCAGGTGTCAGGCTGAGCTCTCCTGTCTGAGGCATTTTTTTGGCTATTCAGGGTTTAGGGAGCTGCTTTGAGAAGGCAGTCTGTCCGTTGTCTGCCTGCAGAGGTGCTGTTGGCTTGCCTCGGACTCAGCCCAGCTGCTGTGTAGACTTCCTCTGGCTTTTTCTTACACAGGTGAGAATATACCCACCTTTGTAATGGCAGATGCCCCTCACTGAGCTCAAACATCTTGGGTTTAGCTTGGACTTATGTGCTGCCTGCAGTACTCTCAAGTGAAAGGGCTTCAGTTTGCTGGTCTTTGTTGGGTGTGACCTGCCAAGCCATATTTCCTGTCTCCCTGTTTTCAGCTCTCCGTCTTCCTGGAGGGCAGGTAGATTCATCCTGCAGGCGCTTTCAGTCCTGGTCAAAACTTCCACCCAGATCTGTGCCAACAACTAGTGGCACCAGGCCAGCCACAGCTGTCACTCAGATCTGTGTTGGTAACACATGGCGCATTTCAGCCCAGCAGTGTTCTCCTGGACTGTGGGTTGCAATGGCCATGGTAGAAGCACAATGTCTGAACTGGAGTGCTGAAGGGGTAAAGTCCCCAATCCTCCATCCATTTGCACTTCCTGAGTAGGGCAGCACCCCTCCCTGCCTCGGTTTGCCTCCCTTGGGCTACACACACTGTCCAACTGGTCTCATTGAAATGAACCTGGTACTTCTGTTGGAAATGCAGAGTTTACTTGCCTTCTGCATCTCTCTCACTGGGAACTGCGCTCCAGAGCTCTTCCTATTCAGCCATCTTGGCAGAAGTCCAGTGGTCTCCTTCCTATGGCTCCACTAGGCAATAACCCAGTGGGGACTTTGTGTGTGGGCTTCAACCCCATGTTTTCCCTCTTAATTGCCATAGCAGAGGTTCTCTGTGAGGGCCCTATCCCTGCAGCAGGCTTCTTCCTGGGCATCCAGGCTTTTCCATACATCTTCTGCAATCTAGATGAAGGCTTCCAAGCCTCAAGTCCTGCACTTTGTGCACCCACAGGATTAACACCATGTGGAGGCTGCAAAGGCTTGTGGAAGCAGTAGCCCAAGCTGCACCTAGCCTGGAGCTGAAGAAACTGGAGTTCAGGGAGCAGTGTCCCAAGGCTGTGCAAGGTGGCAGGGCCCTGAGTCTGGTTCATAAAACCATTCTTCCCTCCTAGGCCTCTGGGCCTGTGGTGGGCAAAGATGCATGGAGTTCTCTGAAATACCTTCAAGGCCTTTTTCCCATTGTCTTGGCTATTAGCAATTGGCTCCTCTTATGCAAATTTTTGCAGCCTGCTTGAATTTAACCCCTGAAAATAGGCTTTTCTCTTTTTACCACATGGCCAGACTGCAAAGTTTCCAAACTTTTATGCTCTGCTTCCCTTTTAGAACCGTTTCAGGTCGTCTCTTTCTTCATATATATGAGCATTGGTTGTTTGAAGCAGTAAGGCCAGATCTTGAATGCTTCGCAGCTTAGAAATTTATTTCACCAGATACCCTAAATCATCATTCTCAAGTTCAAAGTTCCACAGATCCCTAGAGCAGGGGCACAATCCAACCGAGTTCTTTATTATAACATAGCAAAAGTGACATTTACTCCAGTTCCCAATAAATTCCTCATTTCCATCTGAGACCTCCTCAGCCTGGACTTCATTGTTCCTATCACAATCAACATTTTGGTCACAACAATTTAACAAGTCTCTAGAAAGTTCATCTTCCTCTCTTCTTCTAAACCCTCCACACCCTTCTAACTTCTGCCTATTACCCAGTTCCAAAGTTGCTTCCACATTTTCAGGTATCTTTATAGCAACGTTTCACTCCTTGGTACCAATTTTCTTTATTAGTCCATTCTCACATTGCTATAAAGAAATACCTGAGAGTAGATAATTTATAAAGAGGTTTAATTGACTCACAGTTCCACAGGATGTATAGGAAGCATGATGCTGGCATCTGCTTGGCTTCTAGGGAGGCCTGAAGAAACTTACAAACGTGGCAGAAGGAAAAGGGAAGTAGGCATGTCTAACAGCTAGAGAAGGAGCAAGGGAGCGGGGAGGTACCACACACCTTTAATCAGCCAGATCTCATGAGAACTCACTCACTGTACAGTATCAAGAGGTGATGGTGTTAAACCATTAATGAAGAACCGGCCCCATGATCCAAATACCTCCCACCAGGCCCCACCTTTAACATTGGGGCTTACAATTTGACATGAGACATAGTGGAGACACAGAATAAAACCGTATCAATGGGACACTAAACTCAGACTAGAAAAATGTAAACTATTTGTCAGGAAGCCTTAAGGGAACACTTTGGGTTCATGAACTTAAAGTGGTGCTAGTCAGCAGTGCTGTGTGTCATTCTTCTACTGTGTTAAGCCACACTGACATAGGCATAGAGTGGAGGAGAAGTTGGATTTAACCATTGTTGTGGTTTTGACAAGCTGATACATTAAAGTGATAGAGGGGAGAAGGGTTGACGGTGTGTAAAAGGGAATAATGATGAGTCATGGAATTTAAATAGACTGTAAAGGATAGGAGAGTCAATGGATTAAGGTCAACATTTTCTTATGGATTTTCTATTTGCTTTGCTCTCATATGATCATAACTCAAGAATCATGCAAAAATTATTTTATTCCCACTCACTCTGTAGCATATTTGAACCCACAGCATCCAAAAGTAGATCAAAATCTTTAGTTTGAAAGTCATACTTTGTTGGTCTATTGGATATAAGATACAGAAAGAAACAAGATTCAAACTATAGAGATATAAATCAGATCAAAGGTTGACAGGGCCTGGGAGAGAAACAGGTCCAACTACAAAGGAGAGAGAACTTTTTGATATATTGGATGTGTTAGTCTGTTCTTGCATTGCTAGAAAGAAATACCTGAGACTAAAACATTTATAAAGAAAAGAGGTTTATTTCAGCTCATGATTCTGCAGGCTGTACAGGAAGCATAGTACCAGCAACTGCATCTGGTGAAGGCCTCAGGAAGCTTCTACTAATGATAGAAGGCAAAGAGGAAGCAGGCACATCACATAGTGAGAAAAAGAACAAGACAGAGGGAGGAAGGAAATGCCATACTCTTTAAAAAACAGATTTCCCAAGAGCTCACTCATTACTGTAAGGAGGGCACCAAGACATTCATGAGGGAATCTGTCCCCATGACCCAAACACCTCCCAGTAGGCCCCCTACTTCAACATTGTGGATTACATTTAAACATGAGATTTGGAAGGGACAAATATCCAAACCATACCAGTGGAAATGTTCTAAAACTTGATAATGGTTATTACTGTATGACAACATATATTTGTTAATATTCATTGAACTATACATTAATTGTAGTAATATTTATTGTATGTATGTTAGAACTCAATAACCCTAAAATGAAAATAACCCTGCATTAAAATAAATATATAAGCATCACATATATGTACGTATGTGTGTGTATATATATATAGTAATAAAAATAAGAAATAATAAAATAAGAAAGAAGACACAAAAACATGAGAAGACCTCCCATGATTCTTTGTTTAAAGAAAGTTGTACACACTCCAATATTTCATTGTCCCTTTTTTTGATCACCAAACAAACTTAAAGCGTTTTTACAGCCTGAGGCAATGAAATATAGTCAAATCAGGAATGAATGTGAGGTACATCTTTCTTTCTTTTTAAAAAATCATTATTTTTATTTGACAAATGATAATTGTATGTATTTATAGTATACGGTATGATATTTTTCATACTGTTAATTAACATATCCATCACCTCAAACATTTATCATTTATTTGTGTTAAAAACATTCAAAATCTTCTCTTCTAGCCATTTAAAAATATACAATAAATTGGCCAAGTGATGTGGTTTAAGCCTGTAATCCCAGCACTTTGGGAGGATAAGGTAGGTGGATAACCTAAGGTCAGTACTTCAAGACCAGCCTGGCCAACACGGTGAAACCCTGTCCCTACTAAAAATATAAAAAATTAGCCCAGCAAGTAGGCATAAAAGAGAAATGAAATAACAAGTAGGCAGAAAAGAGAAATAAAATAAGCATTTATTGACCCCAGTTTGTGTGAGCATTAATAAGTAGGCAGAAAAGAGAAATGAAACAAGCAGTTATTGATCCCAGTTTGTGTGAGGCATTGGGCTAGGTGCTTTCACACATGCTCCATGATTTCAGTCCTTACATTAACTCCAAAAGAAAGGGGGCCTATATAAGCCTCCCCACAATGCTGACACGCAAAAATTATCATGAGTATTTTTTTACTGCTACTTGTGGAGTAATGCTAACCCATAGGCAGTGCGTGCGAGGTAGCCATGTATTTTTTAAATTCAAGTAAAATTTGGCTAAGCCCCACCTGAGATGGCTAAAAATCAGCCCTCACTTAATTTTCTTCTTCCTTCGCACAGCAATCCTGTACTTCCAAACAAAGCTCTGGGCAGTGGTGGTCTTGAGGGAAGGGAATGTCTAATAAACTAAAAAACATAATTCCCTTAGGATCTAAGAAGCACAGAACACAAGGCATGCATAAAGGGAGCGGGGAACTCATTAGAGGAAGGAAAAATTACCTTTAAATCTTCCCATTTTCCATAGTATTGAAAACATAACATGACAGTAATTAGAATCTCAGTAGATTTTTCAGTGACAATAGGTTCTCATCCACAATTTTGAAAAAATGGAAATTCAAAGAATTTAAACAATTTTTCTAAGGATACACAGCTAACTAATAAACAGTACAGAAATAAGGTCAGAATTTGGATCTTGTATTAAAAAAAAATTATTCAGTGACACTCATTAAAGCGTGGTAAGCAAGACATGATTCAGCACCATCACAATAGGTACAGCGACCATGGCAACAAGGTCATGTGAGGGGGGAGAGAGATTAGACCCAACTCCAAATGCAACATGAACAAGGTGGAATTTACAGCCAAGGAGCACGGTGGAGGGGTCAGTGGATGGAAAATTACTTAGAGGAAACATTAAGGGTAAGAGGTATTCTGGATAAACCAACATAACAAAATTCTTGTCCAGGTAATCAGACATCCCTTAGGAGACAGCGAAAGTTGAGGAGCCCAGTTGGATACTGAGCATGATCAGATACCAAGAGTGGGGTTTTTTGTTGAAACTGGACACTGCAAGGAAGTATATGAATGGGCCTAGAAGAAGGTTCAGGAGCCTGACTAATGTTTGGCCAAGCAAAGAATCTTTGTCAGTCTTTCCTCGTAGGAGTCCTATTCTACCACCCCGAAGGACCAAAAAGCAACTAGTGAAGCAAAGTACCACATGAGTGGTTAAAGTCAGAATTATGTGTGAACTCGACTGTTAGTCAGTTATGTGATTTGTGCTCTAATGCAAAGAAATAAATTGGCCATTGTTTTGTGAATGTTTTATACAATCACATATTGTTAAATGAATGTTATACAATTTATACAACCACATATTGTTGATTTTTGCGAGGTCACAAGAATAACAGAATGCTCTTGAACACCATAACAACAGATAGCCAGGAAAGCCTATGATTGATCTGGTTTTAACTAGTCCACTAATTAAACATGGAAACGTATGCATTATTTTTTTTCCTGATTCCTCAGCAGCTGTTGCACATGAATTTAGAAAGGCAATGCAGGCCATCTCAGCAGGTATTGGTGGGCACACTGAGAAGTGGAACACTGTAGTCTTGATGGAAGTTGTTGCTCAAAAATATGATAGAAATGAGATGCCTGTATACCAAATTCCATTTTTTTCTCTTCTTGCTTCCTCCACTGACATCTCTGCTTTTGATTGGCAGGGAAGTTACTTGATTCCACTAAAGTCATTCCAGTGGAAATCTTAAAGCCAACTGGCATATTTATTGGGCATCTCTCACGGCGATCTCTCCTGCTATCCCAGAGGGAAATTATTGGGAGATTCTGGTCTGTCCTGCTTCCACCCAACAGAGGTCATGGAAAAGGGGCAGGCCAAAATTTGACATATGGGCAATGGAGCCAAGAATTAATTGAAGCATCCATTTCTTTCAACCTCAAGTCTAGCAATTTCCTTTCTGACTTTGTCAACATTCATTCATTCAACATGGTATAAGCAACAATGAACCACTGCCAAGTACCCAGGAGGCCTCCAGGGTCTTGGTCTGAGGTAACTTTTGATCAGCCCCTCCCTTTCCAAACCGTTAATAAAAGAGCTCTTGCCCTTCAACGTCTTGTGTAAGCTCAGGGTGGATCCCTCAGATGATAGTCCAGGTTCAATGTTGAGCCAGCACTGGGCTTGGCTGTCTTACAATCAGCCTCCTCACCATGGTCAGAGGAAAATCTTTTGAAGTCATAGAAGTTCATCTTTTCAGATTTAAGACTTCAATACATACTCCTCAAGGGAATATCTCATAGTGATTCCTTTTCTATTAATTCAAGATGTACTTTTAAACCATTTTCTATTTACTTCGTGCTTTAGGGTATATAAAAATAAAGTGCGTGGAATGGAGTTGGGAATCTGAAATGTAGAGAAAATAGCTGGGTTTTTTCATAGCAGAGAGAGTCTTCACTCCACAACCCTGGGACCTGGCCTGCTGTGTCGTGCCTGAAAGTGCCTAATAAATGCGAATTGAAGTAAATTGAATATAAGAAGCCAATTAAGCAACAAGATGAACAGAATAAAGAAGTAAAAGACAGACTGAGGACCTAGTTGAGGAAGACTTCAGGGAACCAGGAACCCGGCCTTCAGGGACAGGTGATTGGTTACCTGTCACTGAGAAGATAATTCCTATAAAGCAAAAAGCAGAAATAAGCAAAATGTGTTTAATAGAGGAGCATTTTATAAAGGCAATGTGAAAAAGAAAGCTGGAAAGGGAAGTTTAAGCTCAACATAGATTTTTGAGTCCCTGGCTTAGAAGAGAGGTCTCTCTTCTGTATCCAGTGAAGATTCTCTGTAGAGAGTCAGGAGGTTGCCACTTCCTGCATCTCATAAAAGGCAGCTCCAGTGGGCTCCATTTGCAACGTCAGCCATACATTTACTATCAGGTATGTTGTAAAATATGTAATAAGTAAGCCTCTGTCAGTAAGGCTAAGAGGCAGATAGTTTATGTATTTGTGTGTGTCTTTACTTGGGAGGGAAGCCTCAGAGACATGGCAAGGAAACAAAGAATTCATGTACTCAAACTGCACTCTCTCTTAAATACATAATTAACATCTCACATATATAAATACCACTATTTTCAAAATGTATAGAGATATTGTGGGGATTATTAAACTTTACTTAATACTTAGACTATAAATTAGTCTAAACACCTGGACTGAATTTAAAATAACTCTTTGCTGTTATATATTTCTTCAGCCTGACACAGCTAATATCATGTAAGGCTCTGTGAGTACTTCATTATTGAAAGAGTCTTCATCCTCTGGAATGATAACCACTGCATCGAAGAAAATTCTTCCACTTGGAATCTGATGAGTTATCATAATTCCAGGATATGAATATACACATTACAAAGAAGCGAACTGCTTTTCTTAAACTGTCAGTGTGGGGAGAATCTCTGATGAGAAAGGTGGAAGTGGCTAGACTTTTCAGCCCCAAATCTTCTAGTCTATGAGTACTCTTCTCTTTGAGGAAGGTAAGTAAAGAATAATTGAAAAAAGATTAAATAATTCTCACTAATTAGTGGGAGACAGAGAAGTGAGAGGGGGCATGAACTCTACCATTATGGTAGGTGGATTGGATTAATGGCTCAATTTTTCACCTCTCCAAGCCCTTTGCCATGTAACCTTGTTATTCCCTCTTAACCTGGCCATGTGATTTGCTTTGCCCAAGAGAATACCAGTACACATGGTACTAGAAGCATGGCTCTGCTTATTGCTCTTTCCCTCTGCCATGTGATAAGATGGACCTGCCTAGACTAGCAAAGATGGGCAAGAAGTAAAGAAAAGAAAAACTCCTAGTCATCCCAGTTGAGGTCATCCTCAATCAGTCAGTAACTAGCCAAACCCCAGGAGCAAGTCCAGCCAAGACCAGCAAAGCCACTAAGCCATCCCAAACCTGGACACAAGAGGGAGATGGGGTGAGATAAGCCAAGTCCAGATAAGATTAGCTGAACTGCCACAGACTCATGCACAAAAATAAACATTTACTATTGCATGTCACTGATGTTTTGTAGTCATTTATTTTGCAGCATTATTGTGGCAATAGACCGTTGAAACTACTGCTTACTGGTTCTGTGACCCTCAAAATTAAAGTAGAGGTAATAATGGTACCTATTCCAAGTGTTGGCGTGAACATTAATTAAGATATTATGCATGAAGTTCTTAGCACTGTGTGTGACACATAGCCTGCCCTCCAAAAGTATGTATGTGGGCAGCAGTATGTGGATAGCAAGGGAGATGGGGAAAGTGAAGGAATTATTGCTGCCTCACCATCCTGACCTCAGTAGGCATTATGTTTTTTGGTTCAAAGAGCATAATAGCAAAGATCAAGTTTAAACCTTTAAATAAAACTTTGCTGAGGATTCTCAGAACACAAAAGAAAAATAATGTGAAGCAGGATAATCTATTTTCTGGTGTAACTTCAGTTACATCTTTCAATATCTCTCCTCCTATGGGGATGTCTCTTAATGTGCCTCCCTGCCTCCACACAGAAGTAGGATTATTTCCCCCACCATACAATAGAGCCCTCAAATCTCTAAGTTCAGACTCACAAAGAGGCAGACTTAAAAGGAGCAGATGCTCTCTTCCTGTCTAAGAGGTTTCTCCCCAAAATTAGGGGAATCAATGTCCTGGCAGCAAAATGATCCTTTCCAAAAGTGATATACTCAGATCCACACCCTTTAGACGGGGACCCCATTACCTAGTCATAGTGAAGTGGCCTTACCAAAAAATAACCGTGTCCGAACACAACACAATAGTACATACATCTGAACAAGATGTACAGACAGGCATGGAGCATCGGAGAGATGGGTCAACAGATAAAAGAAAAAATAATGCTCATA